TGTGTCAAACTTTTCTTTGTATTCGTTTTTCACTCAGAACTCCTTAACATGTCATCCGTCGGGACACCCTGGTCTGCGGCATTAGTTATTCTCACTTGCCCTGTGCAGGGAGATGGTGGGATGAAGTGGCAAGGTTGGCTGGAGATTGTACCAGTTGATTTTAATTTCTAACTTGACTCAATTAAGAAATTTCTGGAGAGGGGGCTGGATCATACCTGAATTGTGTTCATAGCTAAACATTTTGTTAGGAGGTGGGTCCGGTTAGAGGAGATGCATCATTGGGACTGTGCCTTTGGAGGGTTCTATCCCTGGGGATCTTCCTCTGTGCTCTGCTTTCTGGCCACCATGAAGTGAGCAGCTCTGCTTCACTATGTACTTCTACCATGATGTTTCTGCCTTCCAGTCAGCTGACGATGAACTGAAACCTCTGAAACCATGAGGCAAATTAAACTCCTTGAAATTGTGGGTATCCAGTGTATTTCCCAGCAATAGGAAAGTTGTCTAATACAGGCACGGAGTTACATTGTTTTGACTTAGCCTCTGGCTTCCACGGAAGAGATGAGAACTTCACTTTCATTCTAGAGAGGAGCAAACTTTGGATAGCAGCATTAGGGTCCTCAAGCCAATTCAGTTGTTGAGGCTTTGCATAACCTTGAGGAGGTCACTCAGCTACTTTTGCCTCTGTGACCCACAATGCATTGGTGAGGACAGTCAAAGGTATGCAGAAGGGCTGTGCAGGTCATCAGATGGAATTTGTTCCCATGTTTTGAAAATATGTAAAGGATTATAATGAGAGAACTTTCCTATGGCTGGCATTAGCAGATAAGGTGACATGTCTTCCAACAAGAAATATTCCTGGGAATAAAGGCTAAACTCAACTGCTTTCTATATGCTCTTCTATATTTAATTTATCTTATTTAAACTTCAACTCAAGTCGAATATACTAAAACACACTACAGATGAAGGAACTGAGGTACTGAGGTACAGACAAGAACAGGAGTCTATTAAGTGCTCAAATCTAGGCTATCTCATTCTAGAATGTGTAGCCTTTTTTACTGATTTTAAAGTCTATTTTTGGGTTATCTTTAAAGAAAAGCAAACAAGTCTATCACCTAAGATAGAATATGTGTATAAGAGCTTTTCACAGCTCTTTACCCTTAACGTTTTCTTGTAGCCATGGTTCCAGTCTTTATCCGAAATTCACAGTATAGCTGATGCTAAGGCACTTCTCAAAGATTCTGTTCTATCAAGAACAGACAGAATAAGCATTCCCTGTGTATCCCCAATTGCCCATTCCTCATCTGCAAGGTGCAGCTATCAGCAATGTGTGAGTCCCGGCCCAAAGACCTCATTACATTTGCCTTTCTTGCCCCTCACTTTTCTTTTATTGAAACAGAAATGTTCTGCACACATAGACTTTAGAATCACAGGGACATAGTTTTGAATGTGACTCAGCCATTGGCTTCCACATCCTTCTAAGCTAAGTCAGTGAAGATTAGCTCTATGAAGATTGGAGTCTCAGCTTCCTCAACTGTACAACAGAGATGAATCTGAATACTTCTGGAATTGTGAAGACTAACTTGGGTAATATTTGCAAAAATGCTTCTCATAATCCTTGGGACATAGTAATCATCATATGATAGCCACTGATTGTTACATGCAGAGTGATGTGTAGACTATGTGCATGAACAATTAGGCTGTTCTAACATTAATTTATTTAACGGTCTCACAACATGATGAGGCAGGAACTGTCTTGACTTCCATTTTATAAGAAGTGAGGCATAATTAAGCACCCTGCTCACTCAGTAATTAGCAATATTAGGACTCAAACTCTAGCATATTACCTCCTCCAAACTATACCCTTACCTACCCCAAAGCACTTGATCAATAGTAACAATAGTGTGATGATTCTCAAATGGGGCTGATTTTGTATTTTTCTTCCCTGGGCATTTTGTGGTAGCTGGATATTTTACTTGTCATGAATAAGGGGTGCCATTAGTATGCCCTGGGGTGAGGCCAGGGTTGCCACTGATGCTCTACCCTGAACAGGGTGGCCCTCACAACAAGGAATTACCAGGTCCACAGTTCCAAGAGTGTCAAGGTTGAGAAACACTGCTGCTGAATGAAACAGAATGATCCAACCTAACCACTGAATTAATAATTGCACTAATTTAATAATTGCCAGTGCAACTTCACAACTATGAATATTAAAAAGAGTTGTAAGAAGGGCTCCTTCAGAAGCTGCCCCAGTGCATAGGGGACATGCCTCATATGTGGTAAGGGGCTGGGCTCAGAAAGAGGGATCCCAGCTAGACGATGAGCTCACTGACCAGGCAGTTACATCACTTCTCAAAACCCTTTTCCTCCGCTGTGCAACAGGGCACAGGAGGATCAACAAGACAAAGTGTGTATCTGGCAATCAGAGATTGCCTCCTGAGCTGGCGGGACTATTATTACATTGGGGCTTCTCAGTGGTTGCAGCCAGAGCAAGGAATGGATGAGCTGGGCCAGCACCAAGACCTAAGAAAGAGCCAGCCGCTGCCTGGAGAGCGAATGAGCGGCACCATGTACACAGGTAACAACCCCAACTGCCAGTTCTCCTCCCTGAACAGCAGCTCTGTCTGCAGAGAAGGGTGGGAAGCACGCTCTCTCCCCATCCGGAAGAGTTCTGTGGCGTGAATGGTGCTGAGGGTGGTTTTTGTTTGGCTTTCCTTCCACATCTCATGTCATCTGCTCAAACAGTCAAACAACATCCAAAAGTAGAGAGTAAATTTCATGTCAGCAGATTTCATATAACATTCCCGGTTCCTGTATGCTAAAAGGAAAATGATATAGGGAGATAACACAGGAGAAGTATTTCTTTTTTACTTTTTTTTTTTTTGCTGCGAGTTAATATTAGTATTTAAATTTTTTATGGCAAAATGTAAAACTGGTGTCCAACACATACCCCTCCTCAGTTATGCTCCATTTGGAGACCTACGGGAGTTCTGTGGCCTCTCTTTTTATGGGAGATGTGAACATTACCCACCCTCCTCTAGAAATTTCCATGAGGCAAAGCCAAATTATCTGAGTCGTGATTGCTATTTCTTCTCTCAGCTGGAAATCCAAATGTGATTGGTAGATTTTTAATAGTACAGTTCTAAAGACACAGGCACCTAACTCTTTTCAGAGAGATGTTATATTTTTAATCAAGTAAACACATTAATTACTGACACACTTTCCACTTTCTGCCCTCCCACAAATCTGCTGATGAATTTCTCGTGGGTTTCCTAGGACACGTGGAACAGGGCCCTACTCCTTTGGATTTAGCCACAGAACATGTCAATTTGCTTATTTCACTCTAGAACTCTGAAAAGGTTCTCTGCATCATGTTACTCACAGAGGATGATGGCCATAGGAAATCAACTAATCTCATGTTTCACAATACATTCATCTGACTCCATAAAGCTTGTGACTATCGGTAATTAGATTTCTTTCCAGAAATCATGGGGACAGGAAAATAGAACTTGGAGGCAGTCATGACTGTCTGACTGCGGATGCTCAGATATATTAACTTGGTGAGATGAAAAACATTGTGATCGCCTGAATTTTAAGTGGAGGTGCATGTTTCAGGGCTTCATGTCTCAGGATTTATCTTAATTTTATATCTTGGAAACTAAAGTGACAGCTTCTTTGTTTCTTCTAAAGTGTAGCCTAAGTCACTTGCGGGATGTCCTGAAATGCTTTTAATCTAGGATTAGGTCTATGAGAAAGAATAAGCAAAAATAAATAAATAAAAAACAACAAACAAAACCTCAAAAACCGCATTAGCTACCTACACTCAATACAGTAGACAAATACAGGTAGGCTTGCCGTACAGAGTGTGTTGTGCTATCCATCAAACCTCTGGGCAGAAAGCATCTGGTACAAATGTCGGTGGTGTCCCTGCTAGAATTGAGTCTCTCTACTGTCTTGAGACCTCTATAAAATCCGCAATCAGTCCCTGTCTTGAGACCTCTATAAAATCCGCAATCAGTCCCTAACACTGTGTTCACTTTTGCTGTACAGGTGAGGCTTTGAAACATCTCTAAGCTACCGTGGAAGAACCAGCCACTTGTAACTCTCCATAGTATTTCCAAAAGGCTTAGATCCTCCTAGAAAAGTCTATGCTTTGAATAAAGATTCTCTAACGATAGTCTCTAAACTTTGGGATAACACAGTGGGACAACCAAATTTTAAAGCAAGTTTCCAGGAGCTAACATTGAAAACATTTTTTAACCAAAAAAGGAAACTACAATAAAACAAAATAAAAACCATACCTAAATGGTCCAGAAAACCCCCATTTTATACAAAAAGTACTGTTTTGACACAAAAATAATTGTAATCTCAAAATGAAGGACTGTACCTTGAGCTGAATAAAACAGCACATTTTCCTGATTTTTTTTTTTTCCTTTCCCAGAGGTCCACATCAAGTTTAGGAGAATGTGGGAAATTCTGTGTTGGTCCTCTAATGGCCCACAATCCTCCACTCCTTAATGGGAACTAAGTACAACATTATTGCATAAAATTTATCCGCATATCAGAAAATATTTCAACTAAAGAGCATTTTCTTTGCCTCTTAGAATCAGAAACCTTGAAGGAGATTCCAAAAGGCAGATTATTATTTTCATGATCTATGTGCCTTGTACTAAAGCCTTTGTCCTTGGGGCTAATGGGGTGAAATATGAGGGGATCTGAATACGGACTGGCAGTGAGAGGGCAAACTTCGTGATGCAATCGTGCATGCTCATAATTCTAGCTACTCAAGAGGCCGAGGCAAGAGGACTACACTTGAAATCTGCTTGGGCAACTTTGCTACATCAAAGTAATTTTTTAAAGGGCCGAGTTGTAGCTCAGCAGTTAGAGCACTTCCCTAGGATTAGCAAAGAAAGAAAGAAACTAAAGTGGCAACAAGATGTATGAATCTAACTACATACTATGCTGCGGAGGTTGTGACCCACTGGAGTGGCCGCGAAGGTTACCTTCGGAATGCACATGCTGGGCTCAGACAGGCGCGGGTAGGTGTAGGAGCTGTAGGAGTGGCCCTGGGGGTGGGTTTTAAATGCACTTGCTCCGAATGGCATCAAGGGTTCCTGGAGCCCTGAGCCCGACTTGGATCTCTGCCGCATGGCCGGCTGGGGACTCGTCTGGGTCAGGTAAGAGGACTTGGGCCTCCTGTCGTAGTCGTCCAGGCCGGACGCCCAATCGCTCTCGCTGTAGGCTAGGCTCTCCTTGGAGGTGCGGGGTGGCGGGAAGGCGAAGGTGTAGTCCAGGGTCGAGCTGCTGGCGGCCCGGGGCGGCTCCCAGCGGAGGTCGCCCAGGTCGCCCGCTCTGCCCAGGGAGTCCAGGTGCACGCGGCAGTGCTAGCTATTTTGAAGTAATACATGTCATCAATTCATTGTTGTGAAATATAGTTACCCTACTGTCCTATGCAGAACATAGTTTTTCTTCCTGTCCCACTCCACCACTATGTGTATTAACTACACACACACACACACACACAGAGTTTCCAGGCTTTGGTAACCATTGTTCTATTCTGGACTTCTATGAGATCAACTTTCTTAATCTCTGCATGTAAGAACATATGGTATTTTTTAAAAAAGAACATATGGTATTATTTGTGTCTCTGTCCCCAACTTAGTCCTCCAGCAGCCCGTTGATGGAGCTCTCCTGGCAGGGCTTGTGTCCTCGCACGATTGTCTGCGGAGAGTCAAGGGAGCAGTGTTTAGGGAAAGCTTGTCGTCTTTTAAAACATGAGGGAAGGTTTCCGCTTCCAGCCCATTCAGCACAAACCACAGCAGAAAAGAGACCGCAGGAACATTGAGAGGCATGCATGTGTATGTGCTATATGCAGTGTGCATGGCCTATATGTGATATATACATATTTTATAGATGTATGGTAACAGGAAATGCGTTGATTTTAGTGCCAAATTAAATTTTAAAAATGTTTGGTGTACTGGTCATTGAACCTAAGGCCTTTGCACTGAGCTGTATCCCTAGCTCCCTTCCCCCTTTTAATTTGAGACGGAGGAGGTCTTGTTAAATGGTCCAGGCAGTACTCGAACATGTAACCCTCCTGCCTCAGCCTCCCAGTGTGCTGGGATTACAAGCATGCACCTCTGTACCTGGCAAAATAAAACATATATTAAACAATGGTCTGGTATAACTGACAATGTAACATAGGAAGAAGAAGGGCTAAAGGTGTAGGGGAAGTGGGAAGGGTAGGGGAAAGGTAATAAGGGAAAAGAAAAAATATAAGAAAATGAAAATATGTAAATAAAGTTTTTGTAAATAGGGAAGGGAGGACGGGGTGAAGGGGGGCAGGGGTATGGGGAAAAAATGAGACCCAAGACCTGTCATGTAAAGGTACAAGATCCCAATAATGAATGTAACTGTACTGTATACCTAAAATGTACCAATAAACTCAGTGAGCAAAAGAAAAATGATGATCTTAGCTGATCTCAACAGAGAGATCCATGAGATATCTACTTAGGCTGTCATACTCTTATTTTCTAGTTTAGAGACAAATCCCTTTCCTGTTCCTCTTTCATCTAAATACACTTTAACCATCTAAAAATGAGCCAAAAAGTTAAATTTTAACAATATATATGTGGTTATAAAATATATTTGATATTTTTACATTCATTATTCAAATGATTTGCAAAACCATAAACACTGTCACTTGAGTATTAACGTAACTAGAAATGGGAACTCATTTTTTTAACATGTTTGCATAAGATGCATAATAATTTATGCTATGAGACTTTATAAAAGAGGAAGATGCTTTCTGAAACTGAATAAGGAACATTGTGAACATTACTTTTACAGTTTAGGCTTTGAACACATCTGATATTCTTATTAAGCATATAACTGTAATGCTTGCTGTGACCACACTTCACTGAATTCGGGTGATTCAGTAATGATGTGATTGTACCTAGATCCTAGTGACAAACTGTTCCCTTTAACAAACCTAAATAACACTGGAATGCAAGGAACAGAGAAACAACAACCCGCTTCCAAAGCGAGTCAGCTATGCATCACGATGACAAGGCGCGCAGCAAAATGTGATGGGGGCGGATGATGTGTGAATTCCAGGATTTTAAGAGAAAAATACCTTTGAACAAGTAGCAAGGACTTCAAAACCATCTCAGTTAGTACAATATGAGAGAGACTATAAGTTGTCTTGGAACTCAGTTGTTCTCTATTCATGGTGAAAGCCAAGGGTTGTATTTTTTGCTTTCAAATATTCTTGGACTAATGCTTTGGGTCTGTACCCTTTTCTTGCAAACAAACTTTTTGTTTTATAATAATTTTAGATTAACATATGAGTTACTAAGAAAATGTGGAGAATAAGTTATATACTTAACTTTCATTCACTTTTTCTCATGGTTAACATTTCATATTACTATTAATGAAACTTCACTTTAGGATTTTATGTGTTTTCTTCTAGTGCTCTGGGGTTGCATCAGGGCAGATAATTACATTTATTTGTCATGTCTCCCGAACCTTCTTTGGTCCGTGATAATTTCTTAGTGATCAGGTATTTTGCATAATGTTCCTCAACTGGATTTTTCTTTCTTTTTTTTTTTGGTACGGGGGACTGAACTCTGGTCCTTGCGCTTACAAGGCAGGCCACCGAACTGCTGAGCTAAATCCCCGGCCCATTCAACTGGATTTTTCTGATGTTACCTCTTGGTTAAACTGGGATTATGGGTTTCAAAGAGAGAGGGAAAAGTAGCAATTGATTACATAATTCCCATTGCAATTACCACCAAAATGACTTTTTAGTGTTGATGTTAACCTTGATCACTTGGGTGAATCAATGCTTGCCAGTTTTCTACACTGTAAATTAAACTCCTCTCTCTTCCCCTTGGAAGATGTCAAATGCTACTTTCAGGGGTAGGTGTGTCTACATAAAGTGTTTGGGATTCCGCACAGGAGATTTGCTCATTGTTCCACATTTATTAATTTATTCAATTCTTTATAGCAATATGGATAGACTCATGGAAATTTTTAGAAATACTTTTGAGCCATAATCTAATGTTGTGCTATTTGTTTTGTTGATAAAATGATTCCAGCTTTTGTCACTGAGAGTTCTTTCAGGTTGGCTGCTGTGACTCTTTGAAAATCCCTCTTCCTTTTATTTTTTGAGTACTTCTTTACTGTTAATCACTATAAGATGTTGTAGATGCATCTTGTATTTCCCTCTCTCTGTCCCCAAATCCGCCATTTCTCCAAGGAGACCTGATTCTTTTACTGGAGAGTGGTGTTAGAAATGAGTACCTGGATTCTGGCTATACTCATCGCTATTGGAGTATCATTGCTTCCAGGCCTTCAGGGAACAGATTTTTAAAAAATGTGTTTGTAAATTAACCCATATTGCACACATCTAAAATTGTATCTATCCATTTGTATCTGTCTTAAGCTGAGTATAAATTTATACTGATATCTCTGAATCTAATCCAATATTACATGGTTCATTCTAGCTTTCCTCCTTACCTATGTCTGTAACCTCTCTCACTAACAATATGTTATGGCTTGTGTCTAGATGTCCTCCCAAAGCCTCATGCAGTCACAGGTGGGGCTTTTTCAGAGGTGGCTAAAACTAGGCTGTGTGATTGATTCATGGTGCAATGCTAGGATTAAACCTTCTAGGATTGAAGGTACGTGATTACGAAATCAGTCCACTGGTTGCTTTGGCACTGCCCTAATCCCAATAGCCTGGATACAATAGAAGGGACAGAAAGAGGCTTGTCTTGTCCCTTGCTTGCTTTGCTACCTTCTGCCTGCCATGAACTGTTTCTCCTCTATGATGCCTATCTGCCATGCCACCTGTCTTGGAGCAAGCTGATTATGGACTGAAACCACTACAAACTGTGAGCTAAATAAACCTTTCCTCCCTTAACTTGTGAGTGTCGAGTATTTTGTCTCAGCAAGGAGAAGAATAATTAAAACACAACACAAATGCCAGAACTCACCATCTGCCATTCCTTTATGCATTCAGTTCCAGTTTAATGATACAGCAATTTCAGAATTATTAACCCATTACACTATTGAAAACACTGTTGTTAACTCCGGTACTGTTTACATCCAGTTTTTTTTTTTTTTTTAATTTGGTCTTACACTTTCCATTTAAAGAGTTGTCTTCCAAATATAAATTAATGTATGTGTGTGTGTGTGTGTGTGTTGGGATTGACCCCAGCACCTCAAGCATAATAAGCATGTATAATAGAGCTAAGCTATACCTGTAGCCTAGGTTAGTGTCTTTTTCTGTACCCACTTTAGTATAATAGTGTCTATGTTCATATTTCTTTTTTTTTTTAGTTTGTTTGTTTTGTGGCTTTTTTTGTTTTTGGTTGTGGTTTTTTTGTTTTGTTTTGGTTTGGTTTTTTTTTTTTTTTTTTTGGTACTGGGGATTGAACTTGGGTCCTTGTGCTTTCAAGGCAGGTGGCAGAACCCCTGAGCTAAATGCCTGGTCCTACATACATTCAATTTCCATGGGCTCTTAAAGGGTTGCTGTTTCTGTATCTAAATTTATCCATGGCCTTGCAATAGAGGTGTCTGTTATTCCTCCTCTGTGCTTGTTACTACATATTCAGAGAGGTGTAGTCAGTTCACAGGCAAATTTATAGCAGTAAACTTAATAAATGGAATTTTATAAGTTTGTTAATATAGAAGGGGAAATATTAACATTATTATGAGCTAAATGCTATTCAGAAGAAAAAAATTTAAAAATTTAATACAAGGTAGTATTTATTATCATTATTATGAACCTTAGGCTTCTAGTACTTTTGACAGCAGGCAAGCTACTTAAGCTTTCTATTTTAAAGTTTCTTAATACATAAGATGGCAAGAAGGCATCCTTATCTCATTGAGTTAATGTGATGATTTAATAAATAGTGTAAAACTGCTGATAGGTTTCTCAGAATACAGAATGTCTTAGTACATATTAGTAATTAAGCTACTTTTTCCGTAAAATTTACTTTGAGATTAAGTTGATAATGTTAGAAAAAAGAAAGCTACAGTGAATCAATGAATAGAAATAAATAAATATTATTTTGATAGCCTGGAAGAAATAGGATTTAAGCAGTAGATTTTAAACAATTAGTAACTTCAGACACAAAACAGATTTTTAAAAATTTAAACAGAGGTAAATATCAAGTTAATTACAATAGTCATATAAAATAAATATTCTTTAATAGAGCTAAAATTGATTATTTTTAAATCCTTATTAGTACTCTGTTGGTGCCTTTCTTAAAAAGATTGAATATATGAGCCAGAAAATTAACAAAATTAGACTTCCAAGATATAAACTGAGAAAAGAATGGAAAAGTAAGGGTACTAGAAATAAAGCAAAATATTGATAGTGGTTGTTTGAGTAGGGGATCAAGGATGACTTTTATCTAAGACCAGGGCTTCTTAACTGTAATATTTACACAAATCACCCAAAGGTGCTGGGAAAGGAAGCTTCTTATTTAAGAGGCCAGGGGAGGGACCTGCATGGATGAAGCTCTGAAAACCTTTTAGGTGATGCTGCTGGTAGTCCATGGGTCACACTTTGGACATTTTCCAGATTTTCTGCAGTCAAGGTTACTTTTAAAATAAACATTAATCTGGGATATGCTTTTTGCTATAATGGAAGTCAATATTATACACACAGAAGAGTACTAAATGTTCTCCTTATTAACTATATATAGTGT